CGCCTGTGTTATGCACAGATTAAGGAAGCATGACACATCGACTGTTTTTATGCACAGATTGAGGGTGCATAAAACCTAACCTATGTTAAGCACACATTGAGGATGCATAACACCTCGTTTGTGGTCATGCACTGATTAAGTGTGCATAACACCTCGACTGTGTTATGCACAGATTGAGGGTGCGTAACACCTCGCCTGTGTTATGCACAGATTTATGATGCATAACACCCCGCCTGTGTTATGCACAGATTAAGGAAGCATGACACATCGACTGTTTTATGCACAGATTGAGGGTGCATAAAACCTAACCTATGTTAAGCACACATTGAGGATGCATAACACCTCGTTTGTGTCATGCACTGATTAAGTGTGGGATAACACCTCGACTGTGTTATGCACAGATTGAGGGTGCGTAACAACTCGCCTGTGTTATGCACAGATTGAGGGCGCATAAAACCTAACCTATGTTAAGCACACATTGAGGATGCATAACACCTCGTTTGTGTCATGCACTGATTAAGTGTGCATAACACCTCGACTGTATTATGCACAGATTGAGGGTGCGTAACACCTCGCCCCTGTGTTATGCACAGATTGAGGGTGTTTAACATCTTGCCTGTGTTATGCACAGATTGAGGGTGTTTAACATCTTGCCTGTGTTATGCACAGATTGAGGGTGCATAACACCTCGTTATTGTTATGCACAAATTGAACATGCATAACACCTCGCCTGTGTTATGCCCAGATTGAGGATGCTTAACCGGCCTGTGTTATGCATAGGTTAAGGGTATATCATCTCGCCTGTGTTATGCACAGGTTGAGGGTGCATAACACCTCGCCTGTGTTAGGCACATATTGAAGGGTGTGTAACAACCTGCCTGTGTTATGCACAGATTGAGGGTGCATAACACGTCGCCTGTGTTATGCACAGATTGATGGTGCATAACACCTCACCTGTGTTATGCACAGATTGAGGGTGCATAATACCTCGCCTGTGTTACGCACAGATCGAGGGTGCAAAACACCTCGCCTGTGTTATGCACATTTTGAGGATGCATAACACCTTGCCTTTGTTAAACACACATTGAGGGTGCATAACCCCTCGCCTATGTTATGCACAAATTGAGGGTGATAACACTTCGCCTTTGTTATGTACAGATTGCGGGTGCATAATACCTTTCCTGTGTTATACATAGATTGAAGGTGCATAACACCTCTCCTGTGTTATGCCAGATTGAGGGGCATAACACAACCCCGTGTTTTTGGGGGACACATGGACGGGGGAAAAACACCTCGCCTGTGTTAAATGCACAGGGATTGAGGGTGTTTTTAAACACCTTGGGCCCGTGTTAGAAAAAAACTAGGGTGCATAACAATTTCCCCGTGTTTTTCCCCGATTGAGTGTGCATAACACCTCCCCTCATTTGCACAAATTGAGCGGCATAACACCCATATGCTATGCACAGATTGAGGAAGCTAAACACCTCGCCTGTGTCATGGGGACTGTTTTGGGGGCATAAAACCCCGCCTGTTTTTAAAGCACCATTGAGGGGGATAACACCCCGTTTGTGTCATGCATGATTTAGTGTGATAACACCCTTACTGCGTTATGCATAGGGTTTAGGGGCATAACACCTCGCTTGTGTTTGCACAGATTGTGGGTGTTTTAAAAAATCTCACTTGTGTTGGGGAACAGATTAGGGGGGCATAACACCTGTCTTGTTTCCAGATTGGGTGCATAGCAACCCCTCTGTTTTTATGATAGGGTTAATGGGGGTAACACCTCGCCGTGTTATGCAAAGGTTGAGGGTTTCATAACACCTCCCTGTGTTATGCACAAGTTGAGGGTGCATAACACCTCGTCTATGTTATGCTCAGATTGAGGCTGCATAGCAACCGGTCTGTGTTATGCAAAGGTTAATGGTGTATAACACCTCGCCTGTGTTATGCACAGGTTGAGGGTGCATAACACCTCGTCTATGTTATGCTCAGATTGAGGCTGCATAGCAACCGTCTGTGTTTATGCATAGGTTAATGGTGTATAACACCTCGCCTGTGTTATGCACAGGATGAGGGTGCATAACACCTCGTCTATGTTATGCTCAGATTGAGGCTGCATAGCAACCGGTCTGTGTTATGCATAGGTTAAGGGTGTGTATAACACCTCGCCTGTGTTATGCACAGGTTGAGGGTGCATAACACCTCGCCTGACTTATGCACTGACTGAGGGTGCATAACACGTCGCCTGTGTTATGTACAGATTGATGGTGGCATACACTTTGCCTGCGTTATTCACACATTGAGCGTGCATAACAACCCGCCTATGTTATGCACAGATTGAGGAGCAATAATACCATCGCCTATGTTATGCACACATTGAGGGTGCATAACACCTCCCCTATGTTATGCACACATTGAGGGTGCATAACACCTCGGCTGTGTTATGCACAGATTGAGGAAGCATAACACCTCGCCTGTGTTATGCACACATTGAGGGAGCATAAACACCTCCCCTATGTTGTGCACACATTGAGGGTGCATAACACCTCGGCTGTGTTAATGCACTGATCAGGGTGCATAACATCTCTCCTGCGCTATGCACACAATGAGGTTGCGTAAACCCAGCCTGTGTTATGCATTGATTAAGGAAGCATGACACCTCGACTGTGTTATGCACAGATTGAGTGTGCATAACTCCTCGCTTGTGTTATACACAGATTGAGGGTGCATACCACCCGCCTGTGTTATGCACAGACTAAGGAAACATTGCACCTCTCCTGTGTTATGCACAGATTGGGGTGCATAACACCCCCGCTGTGTTATGCACAGACTAAGGAAACATAGCACCTCCTGTGTTATGCACGGATTGAGGGTGCATAACTCCTCGCCTGTGTAATGCACAGATTGAGGGTGCATAAACACCTCGCCTGTGTTATTACGCAGATTGAGGGTGCATAACTCCTCGCCTGTCTTATGCACAGATTGAAGGTGCATAACACCTCGGTTGTGTTATGCACAGATTGAAGGGTGTACAACACCTCGCCTGTGTTATGCGCAGATTGAGGGTGCATAACACCTCGCCTGTTTATGCATCGATTGAGGTTGCATAACACGTCGAATGTGTTATGCACAAATTTGAGGGGGCATAACACCCCAAAGTGTGTTAAGCACATAAAAATTGCATAAACCTCGCCTTTTTTATTCAAGATTGATGAAGCATAACACCTCGCCTGTGTTATCACAGAATGAGGGTGAATTTAACCCCCTCGCCTAGTCAGGGACAGATTGAGGGGAAAAATAACAACTCGCCTGTGTCATGCAAGATTGAGTGTGCATAACCCTGCCTGGGGTTAAAAACACGATTGGGGGTTTCATTTCACCTCGCCTGTGGTTTTGTACAGATTGAGGGTTCATAAAAAACCCCGCCTATGTTATGCACAGATTGGGGGGGTGATTAAAAACCCCCGCCCGTGTTTATGCACAGTTGAGGGTTTCATAAAAACCCCGCCTGTGTTATTACAGATTGAACTGTGCATTACAACCCCGCCCGTGTTATGTACAAATTTTAGGGTTCATAACACCCCGCCTGTGTCATGCACTATTTTTTAATGTTTATTAAAAAAAATCGCGTGTGTTATGCACGGGTTTTAGGTGCATAACATCTCGCCTGTGTTATTCTTGATGAGGGGGGCATAACCCCCTCTCCTGGGGGTATGCCTAATTTTTGGGTGCATAACACCTGTCTGTTTTACACTGAGTCTTCAGGCGGGTTTTTTAAATATTTTTTATTGTCCTGAAACCCTTTGGGCACTGCTCTTGTTTCAGAGGGAATGAGGAATAACAGCAAAATGGGAAGGTTTTTTTTTTTCCCCGCAGCGGTGTCGGGGAAAATGGGAAATTACTTCGCCTGGCAGCGGGTCCGGAGGAAAAAATGGGGAAAGGTTTACTTCGCTGGCGCGGGGGGCCCCGGGGAAAACTGGAAGGGTTTACTTCGCCTGGCAGCGGGGCCGGAGAAAACTGGGAAGGTTCACTTCGCCTGGCAGCGGGGCCGGAGAAAACTGGGAAGGTTCACTTCGCCTGGCAGCGGTGTCGGAGGAAACTGGGAAGGTTCACTTCGCCTGGCAGCGGGTCCGGAGAAAACTGGGAAGGTTCACTTCGCCTGGCAGCGGGGCCGGAGAAAACTTGGAAGGTTCACTTCGCCTGGCCGCGAGACAGATAGTGGGGTGACAACAGGCAGTCATTTTAGTTGACAAAAAAAAAAAAAGTCTATTTGGATGGTTTCCGCTGTTGATTTATGTCATTATGAGTCTTCACATGTGTTAGTGTTATGTCTTCACCAGGCCATCACAGGGGCACTAGGAGGCCTCAGCTGCCTGTAGAACAAGGGAGTAAAGTTCTTGCTGCCAACTTGTATGGAATTAATTAAGCCTGATATAAATTTCACGTAAATTAAATATAAGAATATAGTATATAGTACGTGCAGGTCAATTAACACTAATACCTACACACTCACAGGCTATTTCTACCCTACAACAATTACTACAACAATGTATCATCTTTTGCAGTCATCTGTTACGAAAGCTAAATTGACCTTCACAAGTATTCTTAATTTTTTTTTTTTTTTGTATTCAGATTTCCAAGGTAAAAATAACGTGGGTCCGTATTTTATCTCTACTGTGTATCATTATCTTGTAAGATGTAGCAACTCTTGTGTTGTCATAATAACTGAGTCATCACAACAAGACACTCATGGTCTAGTGGGCGAGCAGGGTTCTCCAACATTATCACTACAGATGCCACTCTGTATTTCACACATTTTTTGAGGACTCAAGGAAAAAAATCAGTCTATTAAATAAATGTAACTGAATGAATAAAATTTAAATGAATGAATAAGTGACTTAAAATGAGGGTTCATTAGTTTTACTATTTATAAATATCTGAAGTTGAAGTGCACGACATGCGGCCCTCGGGCCACAGTTTGCCAACCAGGATAACTTCACTAGTCCCAGTGAAGATAGCAGTCAAGGTTGGAAGGCTGAGTTAAATGTACAGTGTAGTGTTGACTGTGACAAGTGTTGCACAACCCAGCAGAAACATCACAGCTGACTGCTGAGCAGAATCAACTGTCTGCTGCACTAAATATTCTTAATCTTTAAGGTAAACATTTCCATACATGCATATATATATTATCAAGCAAGTTCATGGTTGACAGGAATATAATAGACTCATGTTTCATAAAAAATAGTTTTGAAAATAGTATGAATATTGCTTTTGGTTTATACAAATTGGATTCATTTATAATTAATAAAGTTTGGTAAGAATTCAAGATACAGTAGACAAGTAAAAAATCTTAATGCTTGGGCAGAGTATCAGTTGTATCACAGAGTCAAGTGTTGTGACGTGACTGTGAGGTGTAGTCTTGCCCTTATATGCCTTTCTGCTGATGTTTTGTTTTTTACAATTCTTTAATAATGTGAGAATGACGAAAGCGCTTGGAAGTTCACCATTCTCTTCACAAACGTGAGAGTGTATATATATAATATATATATATATATATATATATATATATATATATATTATTATATATATATATATTATATATATATATATATAGTTTTACCAATGCTCTTATATGGGTTTACCTGGAGTTTACCTGCAGAGAGTTCCGGGGGTCAACGCCCCCGCGGCCCGGTCTGTGACCAGGCCTCCTGGTGGATCAGAGCCTGATCAACCAGGCTGTTACTGCTGGCTGCACGCAAACCAACGTACGAGCCACAGCCCGGCTGGTCAGGAACTGACTTTAGGTACTTGTCCAGTGCCAGCTTGAAGACTGCCAGGGGTCTGTTGGTAATCCCCCTTATGTGTGCTGGGAGGCAGTTGAACAGTCTCGGGCCCCTGACACTTATTGTATGATCTCTTAACGTGCTAGTGACACCCCTGCTTTTCATTGGGGGGATGGTGCATCGTCTGCCAAGTCTTTTGCTTTCGTAGTGAGTGATTTTCGTGTGCAAGTCCGGTACTAGTCCCTCTAGGATTTTCCAGGTGTATATAATAATGTATCTCTCCATCCTGCGTTCCAGGGAATACAGGTTTAGGAACCTCAAGCGCTCCCAATAATTGAGGTGTTTTATCTCCGTTATGCGCACCGTGAAAGTTCTCTGTACATTTTCTAGGTCGGCAATTTCACCTGCCTTGAAAGGTGCTGTTAATAGTGCAGCAATATTCCAGCCTAGATAGAACAAGTGACCTGAAGAGTGTCATCATGGGCTTGGCCTCCCTAGTTTTGAAGGTTCTCATTATCCATCCTGTCATTTTTCTAGCAGATGCGATTGATACAATGTTATGGTCCTTGAAGGTGAGATCTCCGACATGATCACTCCCAGGTCTTTGACGTTGGTGTTTCGCTCTATTTTGTGGCCAAGAATTTGTTTTGTACTCTGATGAAGATTTAATTTCCTCATGTTTACCATATCTGAGTAATTGAAATTTCTCATCGTTGAACTTCATATTGTTTTCTGCAGCCCACTGAAAGATTTGGTTGATGTCTGCCTGGAGCTTTGCAGTGTCTGCAATGGAAGACACTGTCATGCAGATTCGGGTGTCATCTGCAAAGGAAGACACGGTGCTGTGGGTGATTAATGTTTGCAGCGAGGAGAAGGCTGGAGGCAGTGGAGATGTCATGTCTGAGGGCAATGTGTGGTGTGAATATAATGCAGAGAATCCATAGTTTGGAAGTTAGGAGGAGGTGAGGGATTGCCAAAACTGTTGTCCAGAGGGCTGAGGAAGGGTTGTTGAGGTGGTTCGGACATGTAGAGAGAATGGAGCGAAACAGAATGACTTCAAGAGTGTATCAGTCTGTAGTGGAAGGAAGGCGGGGTAGGGGTCGGCCTAGAAAAACTTGGAGGGAGGGGGTAAAGGAAGTTTTGTGTGCGAGGGGCTTGAACTTCCAGCGGGCATGCGTGAGCGTGTTTGATAGGAGTGAATGGAGACAAATAATTTTTAATACTTGACATGCTGTTGGAGTGTGAGCAAAGTAACATTTATGAAGGGATTCAGGGAAACTGGCAGGCCGGACTTGAGTTCTGGAGATGGGAAGTACAGTGCCTGCACTCTGAAGGAGGGGTGTTAATGTTGCAGTTTAAAAACTGTAAAGTAAAAGGACACAAGTGCAACTAATGTGACATTTTATTGTGGCAACATTTCGCTCTCCAGGGGAGAGCGAAACGTTGCCACAATAAAATGTCACATTAGTTGCACTTGTGTCCTTTTACTTTACATATTGTCGGTAATTCTACCAACTTCATTACAGTTTAAAAACTGTAGTCTAAAGCACCCTTCTGGCAAGACAGTGATGGAGTGAATGATGGTGAAAGTTTTTCTTTTTCGGGCCACCTGCTTGGTGGGAATCGGCCAGTGTGCTAATAAATAATATATGTATTTATATATATATATAATATATATATATATATTATATATATATATATATATATATATATATATATATTTTTTATATATTAACATGTATATATATATATATATATAAGTAGTGCTGAAGGGGCTCAGCGGTCTCTTCTACAGAGCGGTCCATTTCTGAGCGGTCTCTTCTACAGAGCGGTCCATTTCTGAGCGGTCTCTTCTACAGAGCGGTCATTTCCATGAGCAGTCTCCTCCCGAAAGGGCTGCGGCTGAGCGGACTCCTTTTCACACCTTTATGCTAATGGCCTTGACCCCACCACGACCCCCACCCACGACCCCACCCATGACCCCCCTCGACCACCTCGCCCTCAACCCCCCCCACGCCCCCACACCCACAACCCCCACCCGTGCCCCCCACCCGCCCCTGCCCTCGCGCCGACCCACCGCCTGCCGTGCCCTCGCACCCACCCGTCGCGCCCACCCGCGCCTTCTGCTGCGCCTTCTGCAGCATCGTCCGGATCGCCCCCGCTCCCCGAATTTTTTTCAGACTTTTTTCATATTTTTTTTGAATTTCATTTTCTTATGATCTCCTCGGATCAAATTTTTCTCGATATCAATAATACAAAGATTTCCCCCCCACTTTCACCCCCATCCCAATTTTTTTTTTTAATTTCATTTTCTTATGATCTCCTCGGATCAAGTTTTTTGGATTCCCCCCTCTGGGGGTAAGCATTCAAAATGGACTCCCACTTTCACCCCAAATTCCCTGCTCCAATTCCTCAGATCAAGCTTTTTGGATTCCCCCTTTCTGGGGGTAAGCATTCAAAATGGTCTCCCACTTGCATCCCAAATTCCCTGCTCCAATTCCTCGGATCAAATTTTTTCTCGAAGTCAATAATACCAAGTCTCCAACTCCTCGGATCAAGTTTTTCTCGATGATACAAAGCTCCATCTCCTTGGATCAAGGTTTTCTCGATAATACCAAGACTCCATCTCCTTGGATCAAGTTTTTGGATTCTCCCCTCTGGGGGTAAGCATTCAAATGAACTCCTCCTATGGGGCATGGTACTTTCTCTACTGCAGGTCTAAACAAGTGTGACGTTACCCCACCTGTGTTTACTCGGCGGTCAGTGACGTCACGTGATGACCTCACACATACAAGCTGAATCTTGTCGACTTCCCCCTATGTCAGTGACGTCACGTGATGACCTCACACATACAAGCTGAATCTTGTCGACTTCCCCTATGTCAGAGACGTCACGTGATGACCCCACACACACAGGCTGAATCTTGTCGACTTCCCCTATGTCAGAGACGTCACGTGATGACCCCACACACACAGGCTGAATCTTGTCGAGCAGACATTAACTTAAAATGCGGGATAACAATATTTATTATACAACCAATGCATTTCATATACATTCAACAAAAAAAAATCATTGAAAAAAGGTATAATTCATTGACTAAAATCAACATATTTTTCTCTTGAAGAAATTCTATGCATATTTTGTTCTGGACCCCTCAAGGAAGGTTCCTTGATGTTGGTGAGGGGCTCTTGATTTAGGGAATTGGATCTGTGCTCCAGTTCCCCAAATTAAGCCTGAATGCCTTCCACATCCCCCCCCCCAGGCGCTGTATAATCATCCGGGTTTAGCGCTTCCCCCTTGATTGTAATAATAATTTTGTTCTGGATCTTCTTCGTCATCCCCATCTTAGTATTACACACTTCATATACAACATAGGGAAAACATTTTCGCTCTTAACCCAGGATAATCCAAATAGTTCCACATTTTTTCGTTAATACCCACAACAATCCACAATTTCTTTACAACACAAAACTAGACATTTTTCTCGTTTTAACTATTTCATCTCAGGTCACTCCCCACGAAGTAACCTTCTCTCTCTCCTTCTCCCCACCCTACCAAACCCTCACACTCCCACCAACACCTCACAATTTTCACTCATAACCCACAATTTTTCTCGTTTTAACTATTTCATCAGAAAAAGTCACCACAACACTTACAACTTATAACCACTTTTCGATTAATTCACTAGCCACAATTTTACATATTACGAAGTTAATACGCACACACACCTCACTTTACTTTGAACACCTTCAAAACACTCTCATAAATCATTTGAATACTCACAAAAAATACCTTTGAACATTTCCAAACAACACTGAAACACTTCCAAAATATCATTTTGAGTACTCCCAAATACACCACTGAATACTACTAAAACACCACTGAATACAGTCAAAACACCACCAAAATCACCATAAACTAAGATCAACATCACAGAATAACACCCATTTTCACACAAATCCCCTCAAATCACTATAACCAATACGATTCCCAATTTCTATGAGTACACTCTCCTCCAACTAAGATATAACATGAACGCAAAAAACATGAACACAATCCAAACACACACGAACACTTATAACAGAATCACTTCTTTTTCGGTATTTCTAGTTCGACAACAACACCCACAACCCACAACACCCACAACCCACATCACCCACACCCCACAATTTTATATCGTTTTAACTAATTTCATCAGAAAAAGTCACAACAACAAACCCACAACTTATAAAACACTTTTCAGCATCTCTAGTTCGACAACAACACCCACAACCCACAACACCCACAACCCACAACACCCACAACCCACAACACCCACAACCCACATCACCCACATCCCACAATTTTTTCTCGTTTTTAACTAATTTCATCAGA